CGAGGACTGTGTGGGGGGGCTCTGTGGGGCCCCGCGCCTTGCAGTAGCAGCAGCTGCATCAGCAGCAGCAGTAGCAGCAGCAGCAGCAGCTGCTGCTGCTGCTGCTGCATGGCCCCAGCCACTCGGCCCCCGTAGGCTGGGGGGCCCCCAGGGGGGCCCTACAGTAGGGGCAAATCTGCAGCAGGGAATCTCAGGGCCTCTGAAGAACCCTAGACGCTGTTTGGATTTAAGGGTTTAGGGTTTAGGGTTTAGGGTCTAGGCACTCAAACCCTCAGTCACTGCGAGGCTTCAAACACTTCTGCTAGACAGCCTGGACGCTCTAAACCCCAGCTACGCGTCTGAATCTTGAGTGCTGCTGCTGCTGCTGCTGCTGTTTCTACTAAGAGTGGCTGCTGCTGGTGCCCTGCGAGAGCAGCAGCGCCTAGAGTTCTTCAAGCCTGTGGCTGGGGTTGAGGCTTCGTTAGGGTTCTGCTGCTGCTGCTGCTGCTGCTGCTACTGCTGCTGTTTTCAAGTGAAGGCTGCGTCTGCGAAGTCTCTTTTTGAGGAGTGCGAAGGGCTAGGAAGGCGAGCAGCGGCAGTATCAGCAGGAGCAGCAGCAGCAGCTAGTGTCGATTCTGTGCTGCCTCTGGAGCAGCAGCAGCAGCGGCAGCAGCCAGCAGCTGCAACAACAGCTGCAGCAACAGCAACAGCAAACGAATTGAAAACTTCGAGATAACTTTTTATATTTTGTCATTGAATTTGTTTTTAAACTTTCATTTTTGTGCTTGCATGTTGTCCTTCCCCCCTGGGCAGGGAGCAGCAGCAGCAGCAGCAGCAGCAGCAGACGGCGCTTTGTATGCCTCCGCACCACTCCATTGTCTCTTTTTCCCTCAGTTACATAAATATTTGAGTAAATTCTTGTTTTAGCTGTTGCTGCTGCTGCTGCAGCAGCGCGTGGGCACCTGTGGCGGCACCAGCAGCAGCAGCTGCCGGGGCAGCAGTCGAGAATGCAGAGGCGCTCGTTCCTGCTGCTGCCTTCTCTGCTGCTGCTGCTGCCGCCAGCAGCAGCAGCAACGACAACAGCGGCAGCAGCAATAGCAGCAGCAGCAGCTCTTGCGGGATCCCCGGGACTCTGCATGCAGTGGGGAAGAGAAGAAACTTACACAGAACACGGGGGCGCAGATCTAGAAGATGACAGCAGCAGCACCAGCAGCAGCAGACAAAAGCAGTTCTCCTGGGGAGACTCTGCAATGGATATGACAACATTAGAGTTTGGGGACGAAGCAGCAGCAGAAGGAAGCGAGCAGCCTGCAGCAGCAGCAGCAGCAGCAGCACAAGACGCAGCAGCGCACGCAGCAGCAGCGGCCACAGAGGCCTCAGCAGCAGCAGCAGCAGCACAAGCAGCCCAAAAAGCAAACGCACTGATGTACCGCCGCAGAGTCACGCTGCAGCTGCTGCTGTCGCTGCAGGAGCTGCTGCTGATGCTGCTGCTGGGGTTGGAAGCAGCAGAAGGGGCTCATGAGGGGAGGAAGCAGCTGCAGCAGGAGCGGGGGGAAGCTGTTGAAGACGACAGCTGGTCAGAAGACAGCGACACGAGATAAGCTGCTGCTGCTGCTGCAGCTGCTGCTGCTGCTGCTGCTACTGCAGCAGCAGCGGTAGCAGCGCAGGAGCCATGTCGAGCCAGTAGGCCTTTGGAGGCACTCCAGCAACAGCTGCAGCTGCAGCAGCAGCAGCAGCAGCAGGATTAGCAGCAGCGCCTCAGTAGCAGCAGCAGCGAGAGTAGCGGCTTCGCCAGAAGTAGCAACAGCAGCAGCAGCAACAGCAGCAGCAGCAGGAGCGCTGCCATTTCCCAGCGGGGTTTGCTGAATTGGTGAGCGCCGCAGGGCTAGAGTAAGGGGAGGATCAGCGGAAGCAGCAGCAGCAGCTGCTGCTGCTGCTGCGCGCAAAGCCATGGTTGCACCAGCACATTAGCAGCAGCAGCAGTAGCAGCAGCAGCAGCAGAACAGCAGCAGCAGCAGCAGCAGCATGCCTGCTGCAGCAAGCTGCCGCTTCCGCTTCGGCTGAGTGTTTGGCCGTTGCTATTTCTACTTCTGCTGCTACCGTAGATGGAGCAGTAACTGCAGGAAAGGTAGTACCAGCTGCAGCAGCAGCAGCAACAGCAGCAGCAGCAGCAGCAGCGTTTGTTGTGCCGTTTGCCTAACCAAACGAATTATTTTTACAGCCCAAACTAAAGCAGACGCATGTGGGGAGTGGTATTGCTTTGCTGCTGCTGCTGCAGTTGCTGCTTCTCTTGCTGCTCCTGCTGCTGTTCAGTTGCTTCTGTTGCTGCTGTTTCTGCCGCTGTTGTAGTTTCTCTTGGCACTGCTGCTGCTGCTGCTGCTGCTGCTGCTCGCCAAGGCAGCGGCAGCGCGAGGTGTACGTACAGCCCAGCGTGAATAGCGCACAGTGTGCTCACAGCAAAGCTGCGAGATAACGAAGAGAACAGCAGCAGCAGCTGCTGCTGCTCCCGTGCTGCTGCTGCTGCTGCTGCGTCCATACAGGTGCTCTGTAGAGTGGCTCAGTTAATGCACCAGTGCGGGGCCGCCGGGGTGACTGGAAATACCCGAAGTTATTATGCAGCACAGTAACGGCGCAGCAGCAGCTGCTGCTGCTGCAGCACAGCAGCAGCAGCAGCAGAATTTTGCTGCATGCTGCTACAGCTGCTGCTGGCGAAGCCCCGCGTGTAGCGTAGCCTGCGAGTGTTTGGCTGGTTTGACTTAAGTTTGAACACTTTTATGTTGATTTAAAACATATTTTTGTTCATTTAATTCAAATCAATTGAACAAAGAAAGACCCATTTGCCCGTGCGGTCCTCCGGCTTCCTTGACGGCTTGGGAAGTGCCGCGGGTGAGTGCGTCGCCTCTCTTTCCTCTATTTGTTCTCTAAATTTAATTCAATTTAATTTAATTTCATTTCATTTTATTTTATTTTCCTCCATTTCCACTTCAAAAGGCGCATGCAGTTTTCCGCTGCAGCGCAGATCCCCGTTGAGCAGCTGATGTGGCGCTGCAGCAGCTACCGCAGCTAGCCTGCTGCGCATGCGCAGCAGCAGCAGCAGCAGCACGTACTGAGCTGCTGCTGAGGTTTGAATGTCTCTAGGGGCCTCTAGGAAGCCGCTGCTGCCCCGCTGCACAAACGGGGGGCCCCCTCTGGGGGCCCCCCGAGAGCTGCTGTTGCTGCAGCGGCAGCACAGGCAGCTGTGGGCTGTATGTACACCTCAGCTGTGATCACAGCAGCAGCAGCAGCAGCAGCTCTGCCTGCTAGCGAAGTCATGCTGGATTTGCTGAGTTGTTTCCTCTGTTCCACGTGTCTGTACACTGGGGGCTCATGCAAGGGCTAGGGTTTAGGGTTTAGGGTTTAGGGTTTGTGTCTTTAAGCTGCTGCTGCGCCGTTGATATGCTCTTCTATGTCTTTGTGTGCTTTTTTGCTGCAGCACAATGAGCACCGCTTGCCTCCACAGAAGGGTAATACAAGCAGAAGCAGCAGCACCACCACCACCAGCAGCAACAGCAGCAGCAGCAGCAACTAAGTCATGGGTTTTGCTGCACTTGCGTGTGTGCTGCTGCAGCTGCTGGCGGGCTTCGCAGCCAGGGGCCCCCGCATGCTGCAGGGGCCCCAGGGGCCCCTCCAGCCTACGGGGCCATGGAAGTTGCTGCAGCAGCAGCAGCGGCCGCTGCTGCTGCTGCTGCAGCAGCAGCAGCACGGCCAGACGCAGCTGCAACAGCACCAAAGGAAGCAGCAGCAGCAGCAGCAAGGGGCCTCCTTTTGTCTGCAAAGCCTCCTGAGCTCGAAGCGATTTTTCAACTGTCCGTCTTAGGGTTTAGGGTTTAGGGTTTAGGGTTTAAAGTTAAAGGCCTATCATACAGAGCTCAGGATGTACTGCAGTTGCCCGGGTGATCTATACTTCGAGTTGAGGCGAGGGTTTGTTCCCCAGGGTTTAGGGTTTAGGGTTTAGGGTTTAGGGTTTAGGGTTTAGGGTTTAGGGTTTGCTGCGCAGCTTCAACTGGGGGCCACCTGGTGGTGGACTGCCCCGGCATGGGGGACTCCATAACAGAGGGGACTTTGCAAGAGTGGAAATACAGTAAACCCTAAACCCTAAACCCTAAACCCTAGCTTTGAGCCCTTGCATGCAGCGGGGCCCCGGGCTGGGCTTTTCACGCCTTCCTTGACGGAGTTGCTGCTGTTGTGTCGCTGCTGCTGCTGCTGCTGCTGCTGCTGCTTGCGTTGCCTTTTTTGCTGCTGCTGCTGCCCTTGCTGCTGCCGTTGCTCTTGCTGCTGCTGCCGTTCCCGGCGCTGCTGCTGCTGCTCTCGCTGCTGCTTCCACTGCTGCTGCTGCTGCGCTGCTGCTGCTGCTGCTGCTGCTGCTCAGGTGTGGGGTCTTACGTGGCGGAGGGGGCGCTGCTGGCGGTGGTGGAGACAGACAAAGTTGCTGTTGAAATAAATGCTGCTGCTGCTGGCCGTCTTGCTGCAGTGCATGCGCAGCAAGGAGAAACTGTCTTTGTGGGGAAGCCTCTTTACGAACTCGACACCAGTGAGACCTGCTGCTGCTGCTAGTGCTGCTGCTGCTGCTAGTGCTGCTGCTGCTGCTTCTAGTGCTGGTGCTGCTGCTGCTGCTAGTGCTGCTGCTGCTGCTGCGTTGCTGTTATTGTTAGTGCTTCTGCTGTTCCTGCTGCTGCCAGTGCTGCTGCTGCTACTGCTGCTTTTGCTGCTGCTGCTGCTGCTGCGCTGCTGCTGTTGTTAGTGCTTCTGTTCCCGCTGCTGCTAGTGCTGCTGCTGCTTCAGCTGTCAATGCTGCTGCTGCTTCTGCACTATTTGATAGTGCTGCTGCTGCTACTGCTGTTCTAGTTTTCAAAGCAGCTGCTGCAGCTATTGCTGCTGCAGCTGCTGCAGCTGCAGCTGCTGCTGCTACGGACAGAGTAGGGAGCAGAGGGCGCAGCAAATAAAGTAATTAAGTAGCAGCCTATGAATATATGGGTGCAGCAAATAATTAATAAATCAAAATAATATAAATGAACAAATAAATAAAATAAAATTTGTTTAATATTAAATGTTAATTGCAACTAAAAATAGAGAGGCTGGAAATGAAATGAGCAGTAGCTTGTTTCTCTGTTGCTGATTTGTGCTGCAGCAGCAGAACCGCCTGCTGGTGCTGCAGCAGACACAGAGAAGCAGCCACCCCCAGAAGCTGCTGCTGCTCCCGCTGCTGCTGCTGCTCCTGCTGCTGCTTCTGCCCCTGCTGCTCCTGCTGCTGCCGCCCCTGCTGCAGCGCCTACTGCAGCAGCGGCCGATGAGCCGCGCGCCCCAAGCACGCCCCCCCCTGCGGCAGACACTGCTGCTGCTGCTGCCTCTGCTGCTGCTGCTGCTGCTGCTGCTGGGGGCCTCGGTCTAGACCGCGTAGAGAGACGAGTGAGGCAGCAGGCAGCTCATTGTCTTTTTCCATTATTTATTTATTTAAATTCAGTTATTTATTTTTTTATTCATTTATTATTTGAATCTATTTATTAGTTTTGAATTACTCTTCCCCTTATTTTATAGTTCATTACTTGCTGCTGCTGCGCTGCGGATTTGCTGCTGCTTCGCTTTGCTTCAGCTCCGCCGCTCGTTTTCTTTCTTTTTATTCTTTTGTTTGTCTTAATTTAATTTAATTTGATTCTATTTTAATAATAATTTTAATTCTTTTTTGGTTATTTTTTTAATTCTTTTTAATTCTTTTTTATTTCCTTTTTATTTCATTCAGGTGCCTCTGTCGCGGCTGCGGCAGCGAGTTGCTGCTCGCCTTAAAGACGCCCAAAACACTGCAGCAATGCTCACCACCTTCAATGAGGTATTTGCTGCTGCTGTTGCTGCTGCTGCTGCTTCTTTGGCTGCTGCTGCTGCTGCTGTTTCTTGGGCTGCTGCTGCTGCTTCAGCTGCTGCCGTTTCTTCTGCTGCTGCAGCTGTTTCGGTCTTTGGGGCTGCAGCTTGTGCTGCTTGTGTTTCTGCCGCAGTTGCTTACGCTGCTGCTGCTTTTGTTGCTGCTGGTGCTGTTGCTGCTGTTTCTGTTTTTGCTGCTGCCGCTGCCTCTGGCTGGTAGTGCCACTGCAGTTGCTGCTGCTCTCTCTTCTGCGGCTGCTGATGTTTCTGCTGCTACTGCTCTTTCTGCTGCTGCTGCTGCTGTTGTTTACGCTCCTGTTGCTGCATACATGGCTGTTTCCGTTTCCATTTCTGCTGCTACTACCTGTGCTGCTGCTGCTGCTGCTGCTGCTGCACAGTGCGACATGGGGGCCCTGATGGCGCTGCGTAATGAATTGAATGAAGATTTCCAGAAGGTCCACGGAGTGAAAATGGGTGAGGAGTTTTTTATTTGTTTATTTTATCACCTTAATAATTTGTTGCTGTTTGTTTTCCTGCTGCTGCTGCTTCTTTTCTCTCCTTTTCTATCCTTTGCTGCTGCTGCTGCTGCTGCTGCTGCCGTTTGTAGGTTTCGTTTCCGCCTTCATGCTCGCCTCGGCTCTCTCGCTCAAGAAGTTCCCAGCCATCAACGCAAGTGAGTCCAACAGCAGCAGCAGCAGCAGCAGCAGCAGCAAGAGCAGAAAAAGTCGCCGTTGGACTCCTCGGAGCTCGTCTGCCCTCCCGTTTTGAGCTCTTCCGATGCTTTTGAACAAAAGCAGCGAATTGAATGGTTTAAATGGATTAAAATGGATTAAAATGGGTTGAAATTGGACGAAAAGCGCCGAAATAAGTGCAGCGAACCCTGTTCAACTCCGCAGGCGTCGAAGGCGCAGAGGCTGTCTACCGCGACTTCGTCGACATCAGCGTCGCCGTCGCCGCGCCCACCGGCCTTCTCGTCCCCGTAGTTCGCGACTGCCACAAGAAGACCTGGAGCCAGCTCGAGCAGGTAGCTAGCTAGCTAGCTAGCTAGCTAGCTGGCTAGCTGGCGGGCTGGCTGGCTGGCTGGCTGCGGAGGGCGGGAGGACGGGGGAGAGGGAGAGCGAGCGAACGAGCTGGCTAGCTGTGGCTTGCTAGCGAGCTAGCTGTGGCTAGCTAGCGAGCTAGTTGTGGCTAGCTAGCTAGCCAGCTAGCTGCGGCTAGCTGGCTAGCTAGCTAGGGAGCGAGTCAATGGCGTAGAGAGCTGACGACCTAGCTGGCGAGGCGATAACGTAGCTGTGTTGTCAGCTAGCTGGCTAGCTAGCTAGCAGACAGCTAGCTAGCTAGCTAGCTAGCAGACAGCTAGCTAGCTAGCTAGAAGGGCAGCTAGCTGGAGAAGTAGCTGTCTAGCCACCTAGCTAGAGAGCCATCTAGCTGGCTAGCTAGCGTGACATGTAGATAGACAAGTCGATTTCCAGCAGACCAGCTAGCCAGCTAGCTAGCTGTGGAGACAGAAAGATAGGCAGCTAGCTTGGCAACTAGCAACAGCTAGCTGCAGCTAGCTGCGGCTAGCTGCAGCTAGCCACAGGCACCTAAGAGGGGCTCGACCTAGCTAGCTTAGGGCTTGCCAGTTGGCTAGCACTGTCGCTGAGGAGCAGCTAGCAGTGGTTTCTATTCTGCTGCTGCTGCTGCTGCTGCAGGAGCTGGTGCAGCTAGCTGCGAAGGCCCGCAGCAACCAAATTGCCCTTGAGGACATGGCGGGAGGGACTTTCACGATTTCTAACGGTAATTGCTGCTGCTTCCATTTGCTGCTGCTTTCATTCGCTGCTGCTTCCATTTGCTGCTGCTTCCGTTTGCTGCTGCTTCCATTTGCTGCTGCTCCCTTCTGGCTGCTCTCCTTTGCTGGTGCTTCCGCTTGTTGCTGCTTTCGCTTGCTGCTGATTTCATTTTCTGCTGCTGCTTTTCATTTGCTTCTGCTGCTGCTGCTGCAGGCGGCGTGTACGGCAGCATGATGGGGACGCCGATACTAAACCCTCCGCAGTCGGCCATTCTGGGTAATGCTGCTGCTGTTGCTGCTGCTACAGTTTGTGGTGCTGTTTTCACATATGCTGCTGCATGGAAAGTAGCTGCTGCTGCACTAGTTGCTCCCCTGCTGCTGCAGCTGCTGCGTGCCTATCAGCGCCTGCTGCTGCTGTCGCCCCGACTGCTTTCATTTCGTTATCATTGCAGCAGCCCCTGTTGCAGAGCTGCTCGTGTTGCTGCTGCTGCTTTTTGCTGCAACACAATCGCTTCTGCTGCGTAATTGCTGCTGCGCTGCTGCTGCTGCTGCTGCTGCTGCTGACCTGCAGGCATGCACGCTGTGAACCAGCGCCCTGTTGTCCGCGACAACCAAATTGTCATTCGTCCCATCATGTGAGTACCCAAGCAGGAACAGCAGCAACAGCAGCAGCTGCAGCAACAGCAGCAACAGCAACAGCGACAACAACAGCAGCAGCATCTCCTATCGAAGGAGCAGGGTCAGCAGCAGCAACAGTGACTGCACCGCTCGCAGAAGGAGTGCGGGCCGCACGTTTCGTGGCAGCAACCGCAGCAACAGCAGCAGCTGCAGCAGCAGCAGCAGCAGCATGTTGTTTGTGCTGCAGGTACTTGGCCTTGACTTACGACCACCGCCTCATTGACGGCCGCGAAGCTGTTCTTTTCCTCTGCAGCGTAAGAGATTATATTCAGGACCCCCGCCGGATGCTGCTGGGGCTTTAACAGCTCCTTTAGCAGCAACCTAGCAGCAGCAGCAGCAGCAGCTGCTGCTGCTGCTGCTGCTGCCATTCGTGGCACAGCTCTTGAGAGGCCCACAGAGAGAACCCGCACAAAGGTAGCAGACGCACAGAGGTCCCTGAATGGGACCAGCTTCTTCAGCTGCTGCTGCAGCAGCAGCAACAGCAGCAGCAGTGGCTGCCGCTGCTGCTGCTGCGTAGGGGGGTTTTGCAGGGGTTCGGGGGGCCCTTCAGGCGCCCTTGGGGAGACACTGCGGGCCCCTGGAGGCCTCTGGGGGACCCCTGTGTCATAGTGCGCTGAAAAGGAAATTTTGCTTCGAGTGGCTACAGCAGCAGCCGCAGTTGCTGCGGCAGCTGCTGCTGCAGAAACAACAGCAGCCTTAGCAGTTGCTGCCGCTGCTGTTGCTGCCACAGCGGCAGCTTTATAACACAAAAGAGAAGACTGGAATGAAGAAAGGCCTTCTTACAGGCCTTACCTTTCTTTGTTTAAAATGGCTGCAGTGGGGCCCCCCAAATGTCTGCATGGGGCCCCCTAGGTACTAACTGTGGGGCCCCAAATTATTATCCGCTGCTGCTATAAGGCATTGGGGGGCCCCTTAACTTAGTAGCTGATAAGAGCCACTAGAAAACAGTCCTCTGTGGCCCCTTTGGGGGCCCCAGGGGTACCCTGGGGCCCCCGGGGGCCCCCTGAGTTCCGGAGGGGCCCTCTGGGGGCCCCGGGGGCGCCTGCGGGGCCCCAGGGGCCTCAAGGCATTGCTAGGGTATTCTGGGGGCCCCTGACTTACGTAAATAGCTGAATAGGGCCCCCGGCTAGCTGCGCTTATTCTTGAGAAGACTAGAGTGCCGCAGCTGCTGCATCGGTTGCTGCGGCTGCTGCTGCTGCTGTTGTAGGCATAGGCAGAGCACAGGGCTGGCTGTGGGGTCTTTGCTCGATGCTGCAGCAACTGCCTCAGTGAGCTAGCTAGTCACAGCAAGCTGGCTGTCAGTGCTGGCCAGCTAGCCACTGCTGCCCAGCTAGCTAGCTCTGGCTAGCTGCCTGCGCAGCTGCAGCTAGCTAACTGTTTCACAGGGCGTCCTGTTCTTCTGGAGCAGCAGCAAAGAAAGTCTCACTGCCTTGGGGCCCCCAAGGGGGCACCCCTAGGGGCCCCTTAGGGTCCCCCTGAGGGTCAAAAGGACCCCAGGGGGCCCCCAGGGGCCCCCACGATATGTTTGAAGCAGCAGCGTGGCACTTTAGCTGCAACTCATTTCGCTGCTGTGCTGCAGCTTAAGGTGCTCCCGCTGCAGCTGCCGCTCCCCCGAGCATTCGGTGCATGCGCAGCAGCCTCGGGCTCACAAGGCAGCAGCTCTTGAGTAGAGCCTCTGCTGCTGGGGGTCCCTGCAGACTTTGGGAGTTTTCTGGGGCTTTTGGGCGGGCTTTGGGGGCCCCACAGGGGCCCCTTGGGGCCACTACAGCAGCAGCAGCAGCAGGGGCCACCTTAGAGCTGCCAGGAGGCCTCGAGGGGGCCCTTCAGAGATCTTAGGAAGCTTTAAAAGGTTTTGGAAATGTCCCTAGAGGCTGTTGCTGTTGTGGGGCCCATCTGTGGTGTACAGACACCCCGGAGCCTGGTGGCACTGGCCGCCTCAATGCGGGCAACGGCTGTGCGGGGTAAAGCAGGAGTTAAATCTGAATAGGTCGAGCTAAATCTACTTGAAATATTTAAATTGTCAATTTTAATTAATATTAAAACGTTTGTTTCGAATTGCGAAGGGGACTTTATTGAACTTCCCGTGCTCGGGATGCCGCCGCGCCGGCTGCACGCTCGGGCCGGCGACAGCACGCGTGGTTTGCGGACCAAAGCAACGTTGACTTGGAATGAAACACGATAAAATGGATAAAGAAAAAGAAAATAAAAGTAAATAATTGAAAAAGCTGGGTTTTAGGGCGTTAGCTGCAACAGCAGCAGCGGCGAGCAGCAGCAGCAGCAGTCGCCAGCGGACCGGCGGCTGCTGCTGCTGCTGCTGCTCCCCGCCTGCCGGTGTGCGCGAGAGCGGGTGTTTGCGTCTGCAGGAGAGTGTCTGGAGTCATAAAACAGTTTTATTTTCTATTTTTATTGTTTTGACAGTTTAGTTGATTGATTTAGGTACTTTTCTCCAGCCGTTTTCTCCCTGCGTGTCCGCGCAGGGCCGAGCAGGTGACCTCGGCCGGTGCGTGGGGTGTCAGTACACTCCAGAAGCCTCGTCTTCTGCCTCCGACTTTTTGCCGGCAGTCTTTCTCAGATTTTTTGTTTTATTCCCAATGGGATTATCCCTGAGAGTTGGCGCTGATGCGTCAGCGTGCGCCGCGGCTCCTGCTGCAGCGCCCGCAGCAGCAGCAGCAGCAGCAGCAGGGCCACCCCGCGGCCGCCGCCGCGGGGCCTTCCTCCTCTCCGGGCTGCTGCTGCTCTGCGTCTTCGCCCCCACTCCTGCTGCTGCTCTGGGCGACGAAGATGTCATGGATGCAGCGGAAGAGTGCCACGCGGGATGGACTCTTTTGAATGGCCAGTGCATCAAAGAAAAAGAAAGAAAGCCCATCAGCCCCTGCCCCCCCAAGGCCGCTCTCGACGTCAGCTGCAGCACCCCCACGCCCTCTAGGGTTTAGGGTTTAGGGTTTAGGGTTTAGGGTTTAGCGGTTGGGGTTCGGCGAGCAAGTGTTTCCTGGGCTCGAAGCGGGTTTTGCAGCAACTAGAGAGGCTAGCGAGGGTCAAGGGGATTTCGAGGATTAAAAGCAGCTCTGAGGGTTTTCAGTGTTTTAAAGGTTTTAAGGGTTTTGAGGGTTTTAAGGGTTTAGAGGGTTTATGGCGCTTAGACGGTTTTGGAAGGGTTTAGAGGGTTTGGAGGGTTTAAGGGGTTTAAAGGGCTTAAAGGGTTTAGAGGGTTTAGCGATTTCAGACTCTTTCTGAGGGGTTCCAGAGGGTTTGGAGTGCTTCAAGGGTTTGGAGTGCTTCAAGGTTTTGGAGTGCTTCAAGGGTTTGGAGTGTTTCAAGGGTTTAGAGGGTTTCAGATGGTTTGGAGGGTTTTGGAGGGTTTGGAGGGTTTCAGGTGGTTTGGAGGGTTTTGGAGGGTTTGGAGGGTTTTAGAGGGTTTGGAGGGTTTCAAGGGTTTGGAGGGTTTTAGAGGGTTTGGAGGGTTTCAAGGGTTTGGAGGGTTTCAAGGGTTTGGAGGGTTTCAAGGGTTTGGAGGGTTTCAAGGGTTTGGAGGGTTTCAAGGGTTTGAAGGGTTTTGGAGAGTTTAAGAAGGCCAAAAGGGTTCATAGAGTTTTAAGGGTTTGCGTGGCTTGGACAGCTTCAGAGGGTTTTAGAGGGTTTAGAGGGTTTTAAGGGTTTTAAGGGTTTTAAGGGTTTTAAGAATTTTAAGGGTTTTAAGGGTTTTAAGGGTTTTAAGGGTTTTAAGGGTTTTAAGGGTTTTAAGGCTTTGGATCATTTGGAGTTAAAAAGGTTTATCAGCGATTTGAGGTTTTGGGGGCTTTGAGGGTTTAGAGAGCTTAACTGATTTAAATGATTTATAAGGGTTTGCTATGAGGGTTTACGAGGGTTTACGAGGGTTTATGAGGGTTTGACGGTTTAGAGGGCGTATGAGGGGATTTCGCGTTCAGTGTTTAGAGTTAAGAAGCTTCGGGATCTAGGGTTTAGGGTTTAGAGGGTTTAGGGTTTAGGGTTTAGGGTTTAGAGGGTTTAGAGGGTTACGGGGGCAGCAGAAACCCTAAAGGCCAGGCCTTTGGTTACTATGCTGCCTCACCTGCCGTCATGCCTTATCCCTGTAGCTAGCTAGCTAGCTAGCTAGCTAGCTAGCTAGCTGGCTGGGTAGCTAGCTAGCCAGCTAGCTAGCTAGCTGGCTTGCTGTAGAGTTGGCTCGAGAGCCACGCACCCACACAGCAACTTCGTCAACTAGCTGGCTAGCTAGCTAGCTA